CCTGCACTAGCCCTACACTAGCCCTGCACTAGCCCTGCACTAGCCCTGCACTAGCCCTGCACTACTAGCCCTGCACTAGCCCTGCACTACTAGCCCTGCACTAGCCCTGCACTAGCCCTGCACTAGCCCTGCACTAGCCCTGCACTACTAGCCCTGCACTACTAGCCCTGCACTAGCCCTGCACTAGCCCTGCACTAGCCCTGCACTAGCCCTGCACTAGCCCTGCACTACTAGCCCTGCACTAGCCCTGCACTAGCCCTGCACTAGCCCTGCACTAGCCCTGCACTAGCCCTGCACTAGCCCTGCACTACTAGCCCTGCACTAGCCCTGCACTAGCCCTGCACTAGCCCTGCACTAGCCCTGCACTAGCCCTGCACTAGCCCTGCACTACTAGCCCTGCACTAGCCCTGCACTAGCCCTGCACTAGCCCTGCACTAGCCCTGCACTAGCCCTGCACTAGCCCTGCACTAGCCCTGCACTAGCCCTGCACTAGCCCTGCACTAGCCCTGCACTAGCCCTGCACTAGCCCTGCACTAGCCCTGCACTAGCCCTGCACTAGCCCTGCACTAGCCCTGCACTAGCCCTGCACTAGCCCTGCACTAGCCCTGCACTAGCCCTGCACTAGCCATGCACTAGCCCTGCACTAGCCCTGCACTAGCCGTGCACTAGCCCTGCACTAGCCCTACACTAGCCCTGCACTAGCCCTACACTAGCCCTACACTAGCCCTGCACTAGCCCTGCACTAGCCCTGCACTACTAGCCCTGCACTAGCCCTGCACTACTAGCCCTGCACTAGCCCTGCACTAGCCGTGCACTAGCCCTGCACTAGCCCTGCACTAGCCCTGCACTAGCCCTGCACTAGCCCTGCACTAGCCCTGCACTAGCCCTGCACTAGCCCTGCACTAGCCCTGCACTAGCCCTGCACTACTAGCCCTGCACTAGCCCTGCACTAGCCCTGCACTAGCCCTGCACTAGCCCTGCACTAGCCCTGCACTAGCCCTGCACTAGCCCTGCACTAGCCCTGCACTAGCCCTGCACTAGCCCTGCACTAGCCCTGCACTAGCCCTGCACTAGCCCTGCACTAGCCCTGCACTACTAGCCCTGCACTAGCCCTGCACTAGCCCTGCACTAGCCCTGCACTACTAGCCCTGCACTACTAGCCCTGCACTAGCCCTGCACTAGCCCTGCACTAGCCCTGCACTAGCCCTGCACTAGCCCTGCACTAGCCCTGCACTAGCCGTGCACTAGCCCTGCACTAGCCCTACACTAGCCCTGCACTAGCCCTACACTAGCCCTGCACTAGCCCTGCACTAGCCCTGCACTAGCCCTGCACTACTAGCCCTGCACTAGCCCTGCACTACTAGCCCTGCACTAGCCGTGCACTAGCCCTGCACTAGCCCTACACTAGCCCTGCACTAGCCCTACACTAGCCCTGCACTAGCCCTGCACTAGCCCTGCACTAGCCCTGCACTACTAGCCCTGCACTAGCCCTGCACTACTAGCCCTGCACTAGCCCTGCACTACTAGCCCTGCACTAGCCCTGCACTAGCCCTGCACTACTAGCCCTGCACTACTAGCCCTGCACTAGCCCTGCACTAGCCCTGCACTAGCCCTGCACTAGCCCTGCACTACTAGCCCTGCACTAGCCCTGCACTAGCCCTGCACTAGCCATGCACTAGCCCTGCACTAGCCATGCACTAGCCCTGCACTAGCCCTGCACTAGCCCTGCACTAGCCCTGCACTAGCCCTGCACTAGCCCTGCACTAGCCCTGCACTAGCAAACACACATGCTTTAAAATGAAATTTTTTTTGCATGAAATTTAGAAGAAGAAAAAGCAATCAATTCATGGCGACTATAATTGCTGTGGTTGTTGCTGTTGCTGTAGGGAACATTCCAGCAGATGTGGATCAGCCGACATGAATACGACGAGCAGGGCAGCACATGCGTGGACAGAAAGTGTCCATAGGCAGTTACAACGCAACAAGTAGCAAGGGAGGATGGAGGAAGCAAGGAGAAGCGATGGAGATACTACTAATGAAGCAAGGCCGGTGACTGAACAGCAACTACGATAATAATAACAACGATGAAGCAAAGAAGAAAACTGATAGCTATAACTTGGACATCATACGAAACCAGCCAGCCATGCTACACACACACGCACACGTCACATGCACACACACACACACACACACATCCAAACAATATTAGTAGTGTGTACAAAGAGGAATAGGTAAAGAAAGCACAAAATTGCTCAAAAATGTATCAATCAATGTACATAGCACACAAATACATGAGAATGCATGTGTAGTGCATGCATGTCAGCCGTCTACTCGCTGTTTATGTTTGCTGTTTTTGTTTTGTTTGGTTTTTGGTTGGCTGCCCTGTTGCTCACAACCTGTTGCTCACAACTTATAACATTTTCTAGGTTTGGGTTTCTATGGACGCACAATGCTGACATAGATCAGAATTGCCATGTTGCAATGACTACCAGCAACAGCAGCAGTGAATGTGTAACTAAATGTAAACAGTAGCTACAGACAACATACAGGCAACACAGACAATATACGAATAAAGCCAACACAGGGTACACAACAGTGTTCTGCAAGCTCTAGATCATCAGCTAAGCAGCGAGGGCAAGAATAAAGACAGCCATTGGGAATTATCTTCTGGAGTGATGAGAAGAAGTACCACCACTGCTGCGATGTGAAGATGATGGTGGTGAGGAGGATGCTGGTAGACCAGTTCGAGTACGCAATAGAAAGTCCTTGCATGCTGCATCGTACATCTGTGATGACATGAGCAGCACAGGCGCACACACACATGCACGCACACACACGCACATACACACACGTACATGCACACAGGGGAATAGGCTGTTACAACCACATGTTACAACCACAAACGAGCATGAAGGCAAGCGCGGCTAGATGCAAACTTGACTCACACTCAGATTCCATTGAGCAGCACATAGCACAAGTCAAGACAAGACTGTGATGACAGACAAAATCTGCTTAGGGGCCATCCGTAAATATAGATATTTATCTAGAAACAAAAACTAGTCGTTTAGGGGGGAGGGGGTTGAGCGCCTGTTCGTTTCTCAAAAAATATCGATGCACATTTTGCATGCGTGAGCATGTCCAGAGGGTTTACCGGGTGTTAGCGGCCGTCGTGAGTCCCCTTTGGGAACGGACACGATAATTTATTTATTATTTTTATTAGCATGTCCAGAAAAAAGACCAAAAATATCGATACTATGTACCATTTGTATGTGTTCGTTTCTCATGGAGGGGGGTTGAAGAGAAACGACTAGTTTTCGTTTCTAAATAAATATCGGTATTTACGGAAGGCCCCTTACAAGCAAGAAAAACAGCTAGAAAAACAGCTCCTTTGTCACAATCTGCTTCGGCATGGATGGGAGTTTCGTAACAAATCGTACATCTGCAGACCATTACAAATCACATCCACACAAATCGTACATCTACACACCATTACAAATCGTACATCCCCACACCAATACAATACAAATCATACATCTACACACCATTACAAATCGTACATCCCATACCATTACATACAAATCGTACATCCACACACCATTACAAATCGTACATCTACATACAAATCGTACATCCACACACCAATACATACAAATCGTACATCTACACACTATACCAGACATTCATATTACGGCCGCTATCAACAAGTTTTAGCTCAACATGATCAGTACCTCCCCCTGCACTCCTCAGTCCCCAAACACACTCCATGCGAAAAAGGCGTACACAGCCTACACGTAAAGTAACGATCAAGCCCAGTTGACATTCAACGTAACACACACACACACAGTACAAGTGGTGAAGATGGTGGTGCTGGTGTTGGAGGTGGTGGTGGTTTTGGAGGTGTTGATGTTGGATGTGGTGGTTTTGGAGGTGTCGGTGTTGGAGGTGGTGGTGTTGGCGGTGATGGTGGTGGTGGAGGTAGTGATGGGGAGGGTGTTGGCAGTGAAAGTGAAGGTGGTGATGGATGGTACAGGCTACACTACAGCAATGCTTTCTTCGACTCACCAACGGCCTAGCAAAGGATGCTGCTGCTGTGGAGGAGGCATAAGTTGAGGAACTGTGCATTGTTGAGTGCAGTCCGGATCGCGACTGCAGCTGCAAGTGGGTGTCATCACAACCATGGCAGCATAATCAACTAACATTACAACCCAACATAGGAATGGCCGTCACGACACTGGACAAGAACTGGCAACAATGTCCCTCCCACCCCAGTTACACAGCAGCAGCAGCAGCAGCAGCAGCAGAAGCAACAGCACCTCCACCCTTAGAAACACCACCAACAGCACATTTCATCCTTAGAATAGCCGAACAGTTACACCCAGCCAACACCAGCACCCCACAGCATGGGTGGTGGTGTACAATTGCAAGCCCATTGTACGGGTTGAAAGTTTCCCACAATACAGTAGTACTGAGCCCACAAGTCAGGTAACAGGAGAAGTCACGTGTCCAGCAACCGGAAAAAGCTTCATAGCTGCTCAGCTGTGTACTATTCATGCAACATGCTGCTGTTTCATTGAAAACACCCTCTTTCTTAGCTATATCTACCCTTCCAGTCCATCTACAAGCACGGTATTTAGCCTGCCCTGAGCAAACTTTAGTATGTTCAGAAATCAATCTCCAACGATAGTTTTAACCCTTTCACGGTCTCAGAATCCAGTCAAAATGAGGCTATTTACAGAATTCAACAATTTCGTACCTTGATTCATCCATAACTTCAGTTTCCCTTTGCTGATTTTCATGATCTTGGGCTCTCTGGAAAGCTCTGGACACGAGCAACACGCCGAGCTACAATTCGACACCAAGCGTGCCGTGGATCCAGCGCTGCAGCGCAGCGACATCGCCCCAGTGCTTGATTCACGACGATAAACAAGATTCAACAGCCATTTCCCTCTCCTTGCTCACATCGAGCTCACATTTTTTGTGAGGAGTGCTGCGAGTCCATACTCTCATTTGAATCCGTGTCTCTATGGCGACAGCTAGCTGCAAAGGGAAAAACCCGTCCTCAAGACCCAGCTCGCCCACTCAAATCGCAAATGAGCCGTGACGCAGATCGCGAGCTTCGTAGCATCGCAGCCGTTCACTCTATCGCTTCGGCGATTGTTCCTACGGATAGCCTGGAGCTTTCTCTTCAACCTAGATATTTAGATGTTCGAATTTGCTCAAAAATTGACTGAGTTACGATAGTTTGAAAAAATCGATCACCGGTGATCGATTTTCAAATGTGAGACCGTAAAAGGGTTAACTTACAGGGAGAAGCGTAACCTCTTTCTCTCTACTGACAGTGTGACGAGGTGTATGTAATTTCATCAAGGAACGTGTCAAGGAACGTGTCAAGGAACGAGTCTTCATTATGCAGCCAAACAAAGCTCAGGCTGACTGGATTGGAATTTCCTAGACTATATTGCCACAATTTCACGTGGATTATACTAGTACATGTGTCATACGGTAGATTCAAAGGCAAGGCCTCGGCGCTAACACTCACTAACAAAACCTACACAAGTCTACTTAGATAGCTCGAAACGGTAGCAGATCAGCAGTGAGACAACAGCCCATCTGATTGCCCAGGTCATGACGGTGTACAGTACGAGTGTGTAATAAAGGCAGTGTGCTGTATCAGGCCCCATGTGTACAGATGTGTACAGACTGGGGATTATGGACTCGTGAATGCAGAATTTTGCATAGACATTATTTACCCCCCAACACACAGCAAGCTCATTAACTCACCGATTTAGGCACTGCAGCACTAGATGATGATGAAGCACCAGAGTTAGATGGAGGTACTGGGAAAGAACCTGGAGCTCCCGATAGCGACATATGCTAGTGTACGGTAAAGGCACACACACACACGCACACACACACACACACACACACACACACACATACACACACACACACAGAAATGCACGTACAGACACACACACAGACACGTATGCACACAAACACACACACACACACACACATACATACATACATAGAAGGAGGAAAACTTCCTTCTGCCAGCGGAGAGGGCTCAACACAATAAAGTGGAGCACTATTACACACAAAAGGCACAATGGAGGTTTACAGATTTGTCGCAACTCGGAGTTTCTTGCTCAATGCAATCATCAGGCATGCAATCATCAGTCGACTGATGATTGCATTGAGCAAGAAACTCCGAGTTGCGACAAATCTGTAAACCTCCATTGTGCCTTTTGTGTGTAATAAATAATATAATTATTATATTATGTTGGACTCAGAAGACTGAGAAGCCCAAGATTGGTGACGTTGTCCAAAGGTGACCAAAGTTACGACACAGGGAGTTGCAATATTGGAGGTGAGCTGAACTCAAATAGTCAGTCCGGGCTCAATTAATTTATATGCAATGGGTAAAGCGTAGTTACGGGCTGAATTATAGCAGTGTATTTGATGTGCCTGCTAACCCCGAAGTACAGCGGTGGTAGCTGAAATCTGACCCCAACGCAGTGCGCTCACATTGCAAAGACGCAGCACATTGCGCTGGTAACACTAAGCAGTAGAGACGGCTAGAATCGGTGCTGAAATCGAGCACGAAAATCAGGATTTCAGTTGCCAGCACTATAGTTGGCACACAAAGACGAGGTAGACATTCAACATGCCATCATCCTGTTGTCTACTTACAGGTAGGAAAGCAGCAGCAGGCACGGGAGGCATGGCAGGTGCAGTGGCTTGACGGCGTTGTGCATACTCACGCACATAATCATCATACGACTGGCCAACAGCAACAACAACAAGCCAACAACAAGAACAAACAATGCAAACAATGCAAACATGACAACATGAATCAGCAGTCAGCAAAACGCTTGCAGCGCAAGCACAACAAAAGGACACAGGGGCTACACACAATGACAGTTCACATACATTCCAGCCTTAAATAGCAAAAGAATAGCGGTAAAGTCGACTCTTTCTTCAAATACCTGTGCACCTATGGGGAAAAGTCTAACGCCACCTCAGATCAACCTCAAATAAATGTTATGTCTCACAGCACTATCAGTACCAGACGCAACAAAAAAGCAGCAGCAGCAACAATGGCAGCAGCAGTAGCAACTACAGCACGGGCAGCAGCAGCAGAAGCAACGGCAGCATCAAGGAGCAGCAGCGATGGCAGCAGCAACAACGGCAGCAGCAGTAACATTAGCAGCAGCAACGGCAGCAACAGTAACACAAGTTAGCAGCAGCAACAAGCAGCAGCAGCAGCTACGGCTGCAGCAGTTATAGAAACAGCAGCAGCACTAGTGAGAATCTCAGTAGAGCTTACCCCGTGTAAAATAGTACTCTTGTGAACTCCAAACTCCCGTCCAGAACTAGAACGACGAGATGTACGCGAGCTGTAATCAACAAAAGATACATACATGTACATGTATGAGAGGAAATCAAGACGACATGACGACATGATCTGTGATGAGAGCAGTAATATCCCCAGATCACAGTGCAACAGATAATGCAGAATCATGAGCAGCAGCATATATACAAATTGCAATGGCAACAGAGCACACAACACATACCATGTATACTGATTGCATGCAGGCACGCACACAAAAGTCACAAATGCATGTTAACACACTTGCATGCACGCACGCACCCACCTGCACACACAGACACAGACATAGGCACAGCACACACAGCACACACACAGACACACACAGCCAAAGACAGCCAAAGACAAAGACAGACAAAGGCAGACAAAGACAGACACACAGACACACAGACACACACACACATGGTACCGTACTTGGCAGGAGGCGGAGGAGAAAAGCTGCGGGATCTTGAGCGTTGTCTGTGTGATCGAGAATGATAGGAATCCTCATGGCGTGAGCTAGCACCACCAGCAGCACTAGCACCACGATGGCGATCGTGATGATCCGCACGTCGAGAGTAGTCACTAGCACCACGCCGATCATAGTCAACGCCGCCACGATCACCACGTCCACGATCCCTCTCTCTGTCTGACCGATCCAATTCACGATGATCTCTTGCACGATCTCGGGCACGGTCTCGCGGGGGGAAATCACGCTGCTCTCTGTCTGCCCCGCGATAGCGTGACCCTCTGCCATCGTCATCATAGTCTGGAGGAAGAGTGCCACCGCCACCGCTGCCAGCAGCAGTAGGTGCACCACGTCGACTATGACCATGTGATGACTGTGCACTGTCCCAGCTTGCAGGTGCATTGCGTCGATGGTCGCGGTCATGTGGCCGGCTGTCGTGTGATCGGCCGTCATGTGACCGACTGTCGTGTGACCGGCCGTCATGTGACCGACTGTCATGTGACCGACTGTCATGTGACCGACTGTCATGTGACCGGCTGTCTTCGGCAGCAGGTGCTGGATGACGGTGCTCACCGGCCCGACTACGTGCCAGGGCAGCAGCTGCATCACTGCGTGGCGACCGAGATCGGCCTGATGAGGATGCTGATGGTGCTGATGGTGCTGATGGTGAGGCAGGACGATGATGGTGATGAGAACGGTGAGATGATGATGATGCCGCTGGGCTACCGGAGTGTTGCTTACTACCACTGCCGGTGGTGTTCATTGCAGATGTAGTCGCAGCGGGTGATGCTGCTGAGCTTGCCACCGGCATTAGCGGACTAATTCCACGTCTATTACAACAACATAGAGTACACATTGACCAGGAGAAGAAGAAGAAGACAGGGGCACATATAGAACACAGCAGCATACAACACCATACATACTGGTTGCTACTGCTGTGGCGGTGCTGCAGCTGCTGCTGCTACTACTACACACACTGGAACTGTTGCTTCAGCAGCAGACTGATGATGAACATCATTGCAACCTGACTGCCTATGCATTGATTATCTATCAAGGAAAGGAAGCAGGGCAATCAGTCGAGAAGACTCGAATAGCAGCTACAGGAAACATGACATAGTGGAACAAGGCAGACTTCATGCTCAACAATTAGCCATAAAACTGGCACCTGGAAAGTGGACAAGAGTATCGACAACAGCCGCGCATGTACTTACGTGAAGAAGTGTGCAAGTCGTCTCTCTCTCTCTCTCACACACACACACCATGTACACGCGCACGCACGCACGCACGCACGCACACACACACACACACACTCTCTCTCTCTCTCTCTTGCATACACACACACACACACACGCTTCCATGAGAGAGAGACAACATATCAACAAGACACATGACAAACGGCAGCAGCAGCTGCATAACCTGATCAAAGCATGGCGGAAAGCAACATGTGTGAATATAGCAGCACTACTCTACTTCGGTACAAGAAGTAGATGATAGGATTGATGCAACAACAACGGCGGCTGTAGAATATGATGGTGGTGGTGATCACGGTGATGGTGGCAATGTGAAGCTGCTGCCACTGGCACCGCGAACTTAGCCAAGTGCTGCCACCACCACCACCCAGCACGGCTAGAGAATACACAAGTCCTACAGTCCAAGTATTGTGTGCAAGTGTTGCGGCAGTATGCACACAACTCGCCATGAATTCCATGCAACGTATTACATGATAAAACAGTCCTTAGTCCACTGCACTCCCTAGTCCAGGTGTACCACCAGTGTCCGGTATATCATCCATTGTCCATGCTAACTGGTCCAGGGCCACTGTCCATTTCACCAATCTACCACACTTTCTACTTTTGTGTATGCACGAGGCTGTGTAGGAGGTGGTGTGCCGATGCCAGAAGAAGCAGCACTCCTCATTCGATAACAAAGCAATCCACACGGCTTGACTTCGGGCGCCCACAATCGTCAGAATCGCCTTTACCTCGGTCAGCACTAGCATTTGGACATGGTCGCGCACAGACGGGCTTGTGATACTCCAAACATTTAAGCATTCAAGCAGATGTTGGCGGAGGGAAAATGCAACTAGGCGAATAGTCCACAGCCTACTGGATAAGTCGTCCAGGTGCAGCATGGTGTTGCAGCCTAAACACAAGCACTTTGCGCCACTAGCATGGCATGTGAGTGACCAAACACTCACAGTGACAACCATCCTATTGGCAGTATTGCTGTGCAACACCATCTGCAGTATGTATACACGGGGGGCAACACCATCTGCAGTATGTATACACGGGGGGCGCATGCTCATACACCAAGCGCGGCCAGTGCTGGTGACCATGGTCATGGCCGTCAAGGTGGTTGGTAATGGCGGTGGTGGTAGTGGTGATATTGCATTATGAAAGTCACTACGCAAATCTGGGCCGGTGAGTGGGGTGGTGAGTGTGAGTGTGGTGGTGATGGTAATGACAGTCATGAGCACTGCATAGTGGTAGTTACACTCAAACATCCCACTACTTCTTTCCCTACTCCTAGAATATACATGTAGAGGAATGATGCTTTGTCTCTGCTGCTGCTGCACACAGCATATTGTCCCAGCAAGCAACACCTTCGCCATCACAGCAGCATATACTGCTGATTTGAGTAGTATCCCGTGCTTCAACATCAACAATAAAGAGTCTCTGCTAACACTGCTACTGCTGCTACTTGCACTAGTGATACATCTAGCATTATAGTCCAGGCCAGTATTGCCATTGCTACTGCTATTGCTACTACTAGTACTGCTAAGTTCTTTGAGAATACTACCACTACTACTAGAAGTAGTAGTGCCTGCCGCGGCATCATAGCCACAGGCACAGTTACAGTTACAGCTACAAGAGCTGCTCTGCTGTAGCGATAGCAACAGCCGCGCAAAACTGCTACTGCTGCTAAGGTCCACAGCAGCAGCAGCAGCGGCCAATTGACGACAAGAGCAGCACTGTTGTTGCTGCATGCAGCACGTGCTGTGAGAGAGACAGAATGCATGGTTGCGTAACGGCAATGCACCCACAGCTGCTTCCGATAGAGCTGCTAGTACTGCAGCAGCTGTCCCACTGCCACCTACTACTGCTACTGGCATGACAACTATACTAGTACAAGAGGAAGACGAACAAGTCCACATCAATGTGTAGTAACAGCAACAGCTTGTCCACTCTGCTAACCTCGAGGATGATGATGCTGACGACGGGTGTGCTGAGCTAGATGCAGTAGACAATTTAGAGTTGGTACTGCCACTGCCACGGTCGCTGCTAGATCCAACAGTACGTGATGATGATGATGATGCTCCCGCTGCTGCACTGGAATTGTACATGCCGCTGGCATGCAGACTCCTGCCACTGCTACTTCCAGCAGGCGCACTTGATGTCGATGACGAGATGAGTATAGGCTGGAATGCCTTGTGCTGAACGACTGGTTGTCCGACACCGTGACCCAAGGCAGCATGGCCACTGCTCATGCTGCTGCTGCTACCGGTGTGCTTGCTACTTGCACTACTGTGGTTGTTGCTGCCACCACTGCCGCCACGGCTTGCACTGGACCTATCCGGGAATGCAACCATGCGGCTGCTGTTGCTGCTGTCACCGATATATCCTTCTCCTTCGGTGAAGAACAGCCGGCACAGCGCCTCCCCAACAGTCGGCTCTACCTCCTATTAGCAAAGGGCACAGGAGAGCACAGTTATCCAGCAACACCACACACACACACGCACACACACTAGATAGCACAGCGTATCTTCTGATAGTGCACAGTTCACTGGGGATATCTTCAAAAGAGAAACACACATGCTTCTTCACATCCAAACAAATAAACAAGACAACTCCAAATAGGTAAGTACAGTCGGGGACTGAAGAATCAAGTTGACGAGCCAAAATGCAGCCTAAAGTCGAAATTTAACGACTCATAGTTTTTATGGATGCAGAGTCAAATGATGCTGGCCAGAGAAATCTACGACGATCCGTTCGTCCTATAACCCCAATTGAATTCAAGCAACTCCCCCAAAACAGGAAGAGTGAGCTCTACTAGTCGACAGGGATTCGTATGGAAATGTTCACTTGAAGCGTCATTCGTTAGAAACTCAGACAAAGATAAAGCTTTCAAAACAAGTTGTCTTCAGAGCATGGAACCAAATGGTGTTAGGACGATGAGACGGCGACACACCGTTTAACCTGCTATTCCCAATCAGACGACCTATTTCACGATGTACTGTAAAACATGGAATTTTCGGTGTAACTTTAATTTCGGTGATTTCGGTGGAGAAACCAGGCACTAGAGTAGAGTATGCAGTGTATGTGAACGGAACGCTGGTCACCTCATTCTACATTACACCTGAAAACTGGCAGGTCCCTGGCACCGAAATTTTAATGCACCTAAAATTACATGTTTTACGGTATGCGTCAGCTGCGGCTCAGCTGTTGATGAACGACAGTGCTACTAAATGAAATCGGGTCGCGTGAGTCAAGTTTGCGCCTTGCACCATTTCGTAGCCCAGTGTTCGCAGATCTAGGGCTGCGCAACGCCCGGCGCGTACTCGAGTGACACAACTGGATTTCATTGAGCAGCACTGTACATGTGTACATGCACATGTAGCTGCATGCGACGGCACAACAGTAAAAGACCGTTGTGTGGAGATGGATGCATGCTATGCATAGTGTCACTGCACTTTGAGTACTCATTGGTGCATTCAAGTTACATTCAATGGAGCACACCATCAGTTGATTATTATGAAAATAGGGCAACACGTTTGATTGGGAATAAAGGTTAAACATAATGTACTGCATGATGTACTGCAGTCTTCTTGGACCAACACCATTCAATCAACGGCCCAGAAGACTACAGATTCTGAAAGTTTTCATTTTCGTCCGTGCCTCTACAAAAGAAGACCGATTCAAGTGAAGATTTCTGTACAATTCTCTACCTCAGTAGGGGGTGCACTCTTCCTATTTCTGTGGAGGTGCAGACACGTTTAGGGAATACAAGACAGATGGGTGCGGTGCAGCTTCTCCAGACCAACACACATTCGATTCAGCACTCAGAGAACTACACGTAGTGAAACTTTGATCTTTGGCCATTACTTCCCCATGCAGTTTAGGCAGCGCATACAGTAGCCTGCATTTCAGATGGGGGTTTTTTTAAATTAAAGGGGAAGTTAAGGCAAAAATGAAAATTTCATCAGTTGTAGTCTTCGGGGTGCTGAGTCGAATGGTCTTGGTTCGAGAAAGCTGAGACGCTCCCTTCCTACTTGAATCCAGTGTTGCCACATCATTATAGCCAAATATCAGTAGGATAAAAAAATCAAAATGCATCATCCGGGGTCTTCACCCCCGGACCCCCTCCCCTATACAGCGACCTCGATACACGCACACGTGCGGCACTGATAATTAAAAAAAATTCACGTTTTGCGTGAGACTCAGGCTGAGTTTGCCGATTGTTCTCGAGACGGATGATGATTTCGCTTAGCGCTTTAGGAGAGAGCTATGGTAACACGCGTAATGAGCAGTAAAAGCCAAAAATCTGGATCATGACTTCTAAACCACGCATAAGGTCAAACTTGGACACTTTCATGGCTGTTGTCGGCAGGAGAAGGTCAATTGTCGGCAGGTCGTGACATGCCTCAACAATCGGCAGGCTACTGACACGTCGGCAGGTGTGGCAACACAGTGAATCCCAATCGAACTCGCGCACTTCCATTGAAACTGGGTGACTGCGCCCTACTAGATGGGGATTTGTATGCAAAATGTCACTAAAAGCGCCATTTCGTTGTTATAAAAGCACGGACAAAATGGCGCTTTTAGTGACATTTTGCATACAAATCCCCATCTAGTAGGGCGCAGTCACCCAGTTTCGGTGGAAGTGCGCGAGTTCGATTGGGATTCAAGTAGGAAGGGAGCGCCTCAGCTTTCTCGGACCAAGACCTTTCGACTCAGCACCCCGAAGACTACAACTGGTGAAATTTAGCTTTTTGCCTTACCTTCCCCTTTAAAGAAGGCCGCACAAATCCTCAGGTTGGGTTGCAGTAAGCAGTGAGAAGTTGCCCAACCAGACAAACTCTACACCAACTAGCAGCCTCTGAGCCTGTTCATATGAACTTTTTCCATCCCAGAGTGAGCTCAACTCGGTCAGAATACATGTACATACACACATACACACTTAAACTGCCTTCAGGACCGAGCTGAAATGCACCTCGGGACGCACATGCATACAAATATCCATATTCATCCGCAAGCAACTAGACTCCCCATACAACTAAATGAGGTTGGGGTAAACATGCATAGCCATACTGTGGGATTAAAGTGGTGCACACGTGACGGCTGGAAATTGATGGGGTGAAGACGTTCATGTACATGCATCACATATTCATCCCGGGACAAACACTCCAACTCAACAGGGCCTCATTCTTCAGAATCTTTAAAACACACAAGGCAATGGCTAATGAATGCGGCATGCAAAGCAGTCTAGTTCAGTTTTCGCGGTGATTAGGGTATGGTACATGGTAACAACAGGGCACAACAATTACCTGCCCATCACGGCCAATCTTCACAACTTTGTTTTCGTTCCAGGGGTTCTTCAAGTGCAGTGTACGCTGAAAGTCCAATCGACCCCTGCAACAACAACAGCAGCAGCATCAGCAATCAAGCAAAATACAATTGAAACACACTACAGGTGTGCGTGCGAGAGAGCATAATTATACACACCAGGCTTGTAGTTAAAATGGCATAGTGTGGCACTGCACACCTCTTCATGTGTTCCAATGATTTCGGTCCAAAAGCAGAAGGAGGGTAAAATGGGGCTAAGCACGCAAAGCTCTGCAAGCATGGTGCCAGAGATTAGGCAATGAGAGTGTACATTGCCACTTACTTGTGAATCCACTGCAAGCGGAACAAACCATCCAGCTGCTCCGGCAGCATGTTGTGAGGTAAGACCCATGGTATGATAGTGCCATCGCGTATTGCTTCTGAAGCTAACCGTGCCCAGCCTGCAGATGCACACACATGCACACACACACACACAGGGACGGACACACACACACACACGCCCAGACAAAGATACACATATACACACACGTACACGTACACACTAACAAGAAAGAATAATAATAAGAGAATCCACCCCAGTTTGATACTGCAGATGTACAATCAGCAAGAGCTCTTTTTTTATATACCAGAATTGCCCAACATTGCATGCTACACTACAAAAGGATGTCCCGGCTAGGTTTCATGACAAATAAAAAAAGAAATTCTGCTCCAGCTGCTCTGGCCGGGAGGCAGGAGCAAGCAGAACACATGCCGTCTCAACTCAACACACTGCTCTGCAGGATCTTATTCTAGGAGGCGGAACCCATTAAGCATGATGAAAGCAATGCACTAACCTTGAAACTTGCCACTCTCCTTGACAGAGAATATCAGAATGACGTTGTTACATTCCTGCAAAAGAATCAGCAGCAGCAACAACATACCACAAATTAGAGCTAGTCAGTGAATTCATCACGAAAACAAAGCAATGCTTGTGCATACATAGGTGTATCGGGAAACAGGACTGCCCGCTAAACGGTGGTGTTTCACACAAACTTATACTACGTCTCCGTTCCCATCCCACATTCTACAGCAAACCAATTCCCCTCCGCAGCCAGTGAGGCAGGTGTGTGTGTGTGTGTGTGTGTGTGTGTGTGTGTGTGTGTGTGTGTGTGTGTGTGTGTGTGTGTGTGTGTGTGTGTGTGTGTGTGTGTAGTGTCTGTAGGAGACAGTTGTGTTTTCTTGAGCTCTACTCCCAAGATCTCCCCCGCCGTTCTGGGGGCCCTTTCCGTGTGGTGAAGACCAGGAAAGGGTCCCCCAAGGCCTCGCTCGTTTGCCTTGCAAGCAAACCGCGTGAGCACATCTTTTTTGCACAAGTGGCAGTGTTTCAGTCGCGGGAATTTGAATCGAGAAATGGTGAACCTCGGTAGCTGTATTACTAATGATGGCCAGTTGTCGGTTGAGGTTTCTTCCTGTCTTGCCAAGGCCTCCCGGTCTTTTGGTGCCTTGCGTTCTGCTGTCTTCGGAAACCGCCACATCTCTGTGCGTACCAAGACTCATGTTTACTCTGCAGTCGTCCTCTCAACGTTACTTTATGGCTGTGAGTCATGGGCTGTCAAGGCAACCGACACCCGCCGTCTGTCAGTGTTCCACAACCGCTGTGTTCGGTTTATCCTGGACGTCAGCAAGTCAGAACAACGGAATGAGCATCTCTCCAATGCAGTCATCCTGGAGCGGGCTGGTTTGCGATCAGTGGTGGAGATGCTGAGGACGCGCCGTCTTCGCTGGTTGGGGCATGTCGGACGCATGTCGGACTACAGAATACCGAAGTGCGTACTGTTTGGTGAGCTCCAGAAGACGCACCCTCGCCACGGGCCACGCAAGCGTTGGCGTGACAACATCGTGATTGACCTAGAGGAACGCCACATCAATGACTGGTACAGCCTAGCCGAGGACCGTCGTGCGTGGAGACTGGCCTGCAACACCATCCAGCCGCCTTAACCTATGTCTCGGGATTTCAGGTGCCACTGCGGCCGAGATTTTTGCCGTCGCCAGGACCTCACTCGCCACTCGAAGTTCTGTGCCGCGTGACTGAAACACTGTCGGTCCTTTCAGGATCTGCCATCATCTTTGGATGGGCATTATTGTATTGTATGTGCGCGTGTGTGTCTGTGTGGAGTGGACCAACACCTTGGCACTGCATCTCGAAGGGTCTAATAGCTAGAGAGGGTTGAAAAAGGAGCATGGTGGTACCACACAACATATCGAGAGGCCCAGGGAGAAGAATACACAAACTGTGTCTTACCCGAAATGCCTTGTTTAGCTTCTTCTCGTTGAATGACAGAGTGGCCCATACATTCTAAACACAGTGCAGACCCATGAAATACAACCACAATGAGCTGATACGACAAAGCATTGTGATGAAACAAAGTCAACCTGTCTGTGATAAGAAATGAACACCAACAAGAAAAGCTGAGAGACCTAAGGCAGAACAGGGATAGATAGAAAGAAGCAGAAGCAGAGAGATAGCGAGAGAAATAGATAGATCGAGAGACAGAGAGAGAAAAAGACAGAGAGAGACATTGAGAAACTTACCCTGCCTTTGGCAATGCCTACGTTTTCGTGGTTGTTACTCTTGATGATGAAGTAGCGTGACTTTCGGAATAGCCTTTTATTCGGTTGCTGATTAACATCTGGCAAAACAAGAAACAAAGAGAAACAACCAAAAATCGTGACATGCAAGACAATCATAAAGAAAGATGGCTCCAACATGAACATGACAGGATACAGATGCTACCCAGAAAAGGATACACCAGCTTCACCTAGTAAGTGGCCACAAAAAAAGAGAAAAAAAAAGAAAAAAAGAGGTACTCGACACCAGCAACACGCTAATATTTACCAGGAGTGGCACAAAAGCAGCAACCACTGTACTTTGCTACATCACAACACCACAACACAACACAACAGACCCAACAACAGACTGCCAAGCATATCCCCTACAGCTGTAGAGCTAACCTGCTTCACAAATTCAACAACACCAAAGCGGTTACAATATCTACTTCCAGAAAAAGAAATTGAAAACAACTCGCACACGAAAAGCACTGTGCTGCTAAAGCCAGCAAGTGCCAATAAGACAAGTCAACTGGACAAGGAATACAGCTTTGCTGCAGTCAAAACCACCCAAGCAAAGTGGTCAAAGGACTGGACAAAGAGAGAGACAGCACACCACACTTCACAGCTGCATATCTCATCCTCAGCAGGTTTCGGAGAGTATTAGTTGTACGGGATTATTCACACAGGGGGAAAAAAACACAGCAGCAGGCCAAGGGAATGCAGTAGTAGAGGATAGTAGTGAGACTTTTTTCATAGAGATACGCACAACACCCATGCCTGCACAGGGCAAACGACACCCAAGCATGGTCATACCTGGCCAGAGATCCACAGTGAACAAGACCATGCCTGGAGAAGGCCTAACCAAATTTCCACTGCCAAGGTCTAAAACTCCACACAGCAACTAGAACTAAGCTAGGTCCACAGAAACTAGTAAGTCAGTTCCACATAAACTAGAACTAAGCCAGTTCCACAGAAACTAGAACTAAGTCAGGTCCACAGAAACTAGAACTAAGCCAGCTCCACAGAAACTAGAACTAAGTCAGTTCCACAGAAACTAGAACTAAGCCAGCTCCACAGAAACTAGAACTAAGTCAGTTCCACAGAAACTAGAACTAAGTCAGTTCCACATAAACTAGAACTAAGCCAGTTCCACAGAAACTAGAACTAAGCCAGCTCCACAGAAACTAGAACTAAGTCAGTTCCACAGAAACTAGAACTAAGTCAGTTCCACATAAACTAGAACTAAGCCAGCTCCACAGCAAGCCTGCATACTGCAACACTCACAGAAAACAATCCAGCAGTGTTGCAGGAACAGAGCACACACAAATGAAAGCAGAAAGAGCCGGAGTGACACACAATATGGCTGTTTCGGGTGTGACGTGTAAACATGACCACCAAAAGGTGCGAGGACCGCCAAATCCCAAGGCGTGAAGACCGCCAAAACCCAAGGCGTGAAGGTCGCCAAAAACAAGGACCGCCATGACGCTGGCAAAAGTTTACAAAGACCACCATGACCTTGATAAGGGTGCAAGATAGCAGACATGGCAACAACCATGTACATGCACGTACATCTAATGTATGTATGTATGTATGTATGTATGTATGTATGTGTGTATGTATGTATGTGTGTATGTATGTATGTATGTATGTATGTATGTATGTATGTATGTATGTATGTAGGGGGAAGTGGTCCCGTCCACCGCAAAGAGGGCTCAACAGCGCTGGGGTGCACTGGAGCTAGTACACAATGGAAGCGGTCCTCACCAAGAAAACACAATCCGTTGCTACTCCGAGTTTCTTGAGTTTTTCAATCGTCAGGCAACTTTTCTAACTAAAGCAGGGCTGTCAGGTCCACTAAAGAAATACACAACCACACAGCAAGGCGCACAAAAGAGAAAGCGTGAAGTGTGAAGAGTGAAGAGTTACTGCTAGGTGCAGGCAGTGTAAAATATTGATATCAATTGTCCATTACTGTAACAAGCGCTGAATGGAGCACGTAAATATGGAGTTAACTAGCGCATGCCTGGCGTCAGGAGGTGTAAGGCCATTACGGTGCTATATTTGGCGTTAATCATAACAATAATGGTGCAGTGTGTCTGGTTCCATTGGGCATCAGGTTGTTCTGTCCATGTCCGGTTTTACGTGATTCCGTTATACTTATACGTATATATATATATGGCCTTACACCTCCTGACGCCAGGCATGCGCTAGTTAACTCCATATTTACGTGCTCCATTCAGCGCTTGTTACAGTAATGGACAATTGATATCAATATTTTACACTGCCTGCACCTAGCAGTAACTCTTCACTCTTCACACTTCACGCTTTCTCTTTTGTGCGCCTTGCTGTGTGGTTGTGTATTTCTTTAGTGGACCTGACAGCCCTGCTTTAGTTAGAAAAGTTGCCTGACGATTGAAAAACTCAAGAAACTCGGAGTAGCAACGGATTGTGTTTTCTTGGTGAGGACCGCTTCCATTGTATGTATGTATGTATGTATGTATGTATGTATGTATGTATGTATGTATGTATGTATGTATGTATGTATGTATGTATGTGTGCATGTATGTATGTATGTATGTGTGTATGTATGGGAGGTGGGGGTGTAAGGGAAAAGTAAGACAGGTGACATCACACACTAGCATGCACTAAAGCTACACCAGAAAGTCGTAGCTTCTCACATACACTAGTGTGACACAACACACATCACACACCACACACACGTCTATCACATGAACATCTGCTTTTCTCTACCTACTTCGCAGTAGATATGTTCAGAAAACAACCTTGCATCACTGTGTAATCGAGCACAATCGTAGGACACACGGTCAACACACGGTCAACACACGGTCAAAACAAGGACAGTATACATACTACAGTACTGCTCAATGAAATCCAGTCACAGCGTCACTCAAGTACACGCCGGGCCGTTGCGCAGCCCCAGACCTGCGAACGCTGGGCTGCGAAATGATGCAAGGCGCAAACTTGAGTGACTCGACCGGATTTCATCGAGCAGCCCTGTACGTGTACTGCTGCTGCACTATCACACCACGTCAGTAAGTATAGTGCTGGGCATTGAAATCCCCGGCCATAGGCCACACTTCCTGCTCAAAAGTGCATCCTGAGTCACATAAGCGTGATGCCTTCCGTGTATACAAGCCTGCTTAGTTCACACGTTCACAATGAAACGCATAGCACACTTCTTAGCGAGTGGTCAGATAATATGCAGCCAGCACAGTAGAAACCACGTCATGTAGCTCCAATATCAGCACTTTAGCTACGCCAATAGGCCGGCCGGGATGAGACTCGCAGCCAAGCCACTAGGGAAATATCACGATCATCTCAACCCATCGATCCGTGGGCAAAGCGCGCAAGAAAAAGACAACTTGGAATAACAGCAACAAGAAAAGAGAAGCAACACCCACAGCAAACTGACCTGAAGGAGAAGAGGAGATGGTGACCTTAGTTCCACTGCTTGCGGCATGTGCTAGCTTTGCGGAGACCTCCTTCTCAGGCTTCCTATCACCAGCTGTGGACTTGTCGCCAGATGCTGCAGACGCAAAGCAAACCGTGAAGAAGGTTACAGCAGTGTTCTCTCGCTCTCTCACTACCTCTCTGTCTCTCTCCCTCTGTCTGTCTGTCTGTCTGTCTGTCTGTCTGTCTCTCTTTCTCTCACTACCTCTCTCTCTCTCTCTCTCTCTCTCTCTCTCTCTCTCTCATACTCATGGGCACGCACACAGACAGCAGACAAAAGCAACACCCCCCCCCCCCCTCCCAACCTCCTGTCACACAAAGTTTCGTAAGGGACCACACAGCATCATCACGAAACGAAAAAGTTTCGTTCTGACACTCCCCACCCACCCATACCCCTAAACGAAAAAGATTGACTTGACACGTAGAATGGATTGATGTTTCGGCTAGTATCGATATTTTTCAAAACAAAACTCGTCTCGACCCTCCTAAACCATGAACGAATCTTGTATATTTTGTGTGGTGGATCGACAATGATGGACGGCTCCGCTAAGCTTGCACAGTTTCAAGTAGAGTTTTTGTAGTACAGAGAGGGAAGCCACAGCTACTGCACTGATCAATGAAATCTGATCAAGCGAGCAAACACCACACTGGGGCGCTGTGCAGCCCTAGACTTGCATACACTGGGATGTGAACTGGGTGCATGGCGAAAACTCGATTCACGCGATCGGATTTCATTGAGTACCACTGCAGAAGCAAAACACTGAGCAAAAGATATTTTCACCAGTTCGCACTGTACTGATTGCACTTACATCTCCGAGAAGACACTCTGCTACTGTTGCCGTTGTCCTTAGCTTCAGCCCTGCCACTGCCTATAGGCTTCTCTGGCGTCTTCGTTGCTGTGCCCTTGGTGTGGCCTTGACTGACAGTGCTCAAAGAACGGTTGCCATTACTGCTGCTCGCGTCCTTTTTCTCAGAGCTCTTATTCTTGTCCTCCTGACTACCATCAGCAGCAGTAGTAGCAGTAGCAGCAGCAGCAGCAGCAGAATCATCATCAGCAGTCGCAGCAGCACCGTCACCGCTGCTCACAGTATCAGTTTCATCCGGGCGTTGTATATCATCATCATCATCCCCGCCATAATCCAATTGCTCCATCATATTCTGATTATCTTCAAGGTCGAGCAGCAACGTCACTGGGCCGTTCTGATCAGCAGTAGCTGCTTGAGTGTCAAGCTGCTCCATGTTCAGCTCTTCGAGGACTTCAAAGTGGCCCATTTCCGGAGATGAGCTGCCATCAGAATCGTTGCCACTTGGCACGCCGTCGGTGACTACTTCATCAGCCTGGTTCTCAGACTGAGATTCAGCCGTAGTGGAGTTGTTACTAACTTCACACACTTCAGAAGAGTTCAGTGCTTCCTCCGCCGACTCTAGAGGCTCCTGGGCAGTCTCACATGACGGTGTGTCAATGCCGCAGCTAGTAGGAACAGTCTCAACGTCGCGCAGAGCACCTTCAGCCGCTTCGGAATTTTCCTGTGCATCTTGTGTAGGTGATGGTTCATTGTCCGTACCGCCATTGGTCTCTTCACACTCCTCGCTTGAGTCAAGTGCTGCTGGTTCTGTCTCTGCTACTTCCGACTCCTTTTCCTGTGTACTGCTACTAATAGAAGCTGCTGATGCTGCTGCATCTTCTAAGTTAGTAGTTCCACTGGGTGCTACGGTAGCAATTGAACTAGCAGCATCAGCATCAGCATCAGCAGCTGTGGTGATGTTGGTTGTGCTGGATGTGATTGTCTTAGCTACACAATCACTGACGTCGGTTGTTTGCTCGGTAACAGAGTCTGCAGGATTACTGGCATCTTCCAGCGGCATAGCATCCAGATTGGCCAGTTCCTCTCCCATAGCAGCTTTGCTTACGTTCGCAGTTGCAGTTATACGTGAAGACGGTGGTGACTCATCAGCAGTTGAGTCCATGGGCTCTTCCGACACCAACGCGGCGTCACCATGGCCAGACTGAGTATCTGATTGCTCAGTCGCGTCGGCTGGACAGTCCAATGAGCGGTCACCACTGCCCTTCTCGCTTGCAGCTGCTGGTTCCTCGCAAACCGTGGCAGCAGCAGCAGCACCGATATCCATTGGTTGCTCTGTGTCAGCAGCAGCAACACCGGCGGCCACTTCCACATCGGATACCTTGACATCACCTGCAGGTCCAGCGGTGACGCTGGGCAGCTCAGAAGCAACGTCCTTGTTTGGCGTGGTCGATGGTGTGTCCTGCGGTGTGGCTGCCGGAGTTGCCTAGTTACCAGCAGCAGCAACAGCAACAGCAGCAGCAAGCAGCCAGAACAAGGGCAACACGACAAAAAAAGAAAGAAAAAAAAGAACAGCGTACCATTAGCATTCCAGCCCACTCATTATTGCTCATTGCAATACAGATCATGAATAACGACTGTAAAGGAGAAACTTTCGCTAGTGATTAAATTTCGCTACTTTCGCAACCATCACGCATTCGCGAATTTAAATCGCCGCATATTGCTCAGTACGTACGTCTATTGGAGACAGTATACGATCCCAGAGAGGTAAACATCGCAAAAGTTCCTCATCGTGAACCAGCCCCTTTCGTGAAAACGCAGAATTTGCGCGCCGTGAAAGTTTATCGCTTTACAGTAGGTGCGCTCGGTGATATCCGACCTGATATCCGACCTGATATCCGACCCAAAGTGCAAAGCTGGCGCCCGGTAGCAGTACTGATTACATCATTGTACTTGTACAAGTGTACGTCCAGCCGCATTCGTGCCACTTCCAGGGTGTCAAGGGCCGTGCAAGTTGAGTGCACCAAATACCGGGTATGCACTTTGGGTCGGATTTCACCGAGCGCAACTGTACTGTAATAGCAGTAATTTTCGGTGGTGTAATATTTTCGGTATTCTCCAAAATCGGTGGTGCGGCGGAGGGAAATTTTCGGTAAACCCGTTTTCCAGGTGAGTGTACTAGTACCAGTACTGGAACTTTCGGTAAAAAATGTCGGCACCGAAGTTACCAAAGATAAAACACCACCGGAAATTTCTCCTTTTACAGTACATCAAACAATCCTAGAGGTCCGTTGTGCTCTGTGTACCCAGGCGTACATCTATAGGCGGCGGCATTGCGCATTGCGATGTGTTCTCGCTTGGTGCATAGTCGTGACATACGGCGACACTAATTGTGGACAGCCTCGGATAGACACGTCACTTCTGCTCTGTTTATTTTCACTGCTGACTGTAGCCAATAGTCTCGTGGTGTTCGTTCCCTGGTAGTTTGTACCAGTAGTGTACAGTCACTGTCACCAGCAGTATGTCGGACACAACAGCTGCAGTGAACGACAACAGCATAAGAGATACTAGACTGCCTCAGCAGGAACCTGCACCATTGGGCACAGCGTCGTCGTCTCGCACAGAACCGAAAGATCAACGTAGTACCAAGAGTACATAACCCCCCAGAGTGTGCAACTCCGATCCAGCTCTGCATAGGGTCTTGGTCAAGCGGAATCGGATCTTCTGATGTCATGCGTACACTCCACACCAGCGCAAGGCCGGACTCGAGGCAGGGCACCATTGTTTTTGATCCGAGAGTACCCGCGACTCCCCGGGTTCCCCTCAGATGTGTACGGTATTATGAAGCAAAAATCCGAATACGCTCGACCAAGACCCTATGCAGAGCTGGATCAGGCGTTGCACACTCTGGGGGGTTATGTACTCTTGGTAGTACCAATGTCAACGCTGAGTCAGAACGTGAAGCCAGCACATCACCTAGCCCAACTCCAAGACCGCATCCCGAAGCACGGCCTAGCAAATCAGATGGCAAATCCGCTCTCAAACGAACAAGAGGTCGCTCATTGAGAGCTGCAGCTTCACCAAGCAGCATCACAAACCACAGGTGAGTACAGGTAGTGCATCAATGGCATCTCTGTACATCCACACTGTGCCGCCCATATCCATGCCGCATAGTTTAGTAGTCTGATAGTCCCCTCCACAAGTTATGGCTTACAAAAGTAACGGCTATTATCCAGCAATGACAGCATTGTCCCATCCAGGGGGATGATTGCCGTATTATCCGGGGTGTTAGCCGTACCGGGGTCTAAAGCATATCCCCCTTGGGCCTATTTCGTATTTTGTTGACATTTGGACTTTTGGAGTCTAAGCCACATGTCAGACTTCGAACATAGTGCCATACAATTCGCATGTGTTTGTGTAGACGTATCGGGGTGATACTTGACTTGCCACCACTGTACATATCAACCTCGGGTATAACAACAACCCGTCAGTAACAACACTACTATCTTTAGACTAAGTAACCACTTGAGCGCATACTTTCAACCTCGCGAATAATGACAACTCGCCAATAACAACACTTTTCTCATGGCTGATCGAAGGTCGTTATTCGCAAGGTTGAGTGTACACTTTTCTAATTGTCCGCAAACTCCAACGCAGCCACTTACACATTTAGGAAACTTCACTCCTCAACTCCAAACTCCAAAAACGGTCTCTTCACTGCGATTTAAATTCAAATTTACATTACACCAATTTTTCAGGCCTGGCCCATCATCAGGGTAATGAATGACAAAATTTCCATTGCATAGGTACTTATGATGATGGGCCAGGCCCGAAAAATTGGTGTAATGTAAATTTCAATTTAAATCGCAGTGAAGAGACCGTTTTTGGAGTTCAGAAGTGAAGTTTCCTAAATGTTGACTGAACATATCAAACTACACGTTGCGGTACATAAGACAGAGTCTAACCTTTCCGCGTGTACGTTTAGGTCTGGGTGTTGTCTCCACTTCTGCTGCATCTTGAGTAGATGTGTTACGCTTGCGTGAGGATCGGCGTGAAGATATGGCAGTAGCCGCAGTAGCTGATGGTGATGTTGCTGCGTCCTCTGTAGCTGTGACAGCTGCTGAGCGACTACGCGGCGTTCTGGCTGGTGCCTTCGCCAGCTCCCTGGCTACAGCAGCGGGGTCTAGGTCTTCTTTCTCAGCAGTTTCGGTACTAGCTGCCGCACCATCCACAGACTCGTCAGATTCGGTGGCAGTACTGCAAATGGATGTCTTACTATTGGCCTTCTTGATCTTCTCTTCAGCTGCATCTACTTCTTGCTGCAACTTAGCTCTCTCCTTCTCTAAAGCGGCACGCTTGCCCTTGCCTGCTGGCTTATGAGGCGGCGAGGCTGTCGAAGATGCAGCAGCCTTTACAGCACTGGCCCGTCGACTGGAGGTGCGAGTAGGTGTTGGCTGAGCTGGTGTTGCGTCAGACTCGGCATTCACACTGGGGGACTGTGCAGCAGCACGGGAACGACGCTTAGCACGGCCTTTGGGCTTTGCAGCCACAACTGCAAGACATAGAGAGAGAGAGAGAGAGAGAGAGAGAGAGAGAGAGAGAGAAAAGAGGAGAGGTATGTCGTGTTTGCCACGGCTATATGCCTACTACTGATTCGGCCACTTGACAAGCTGCATCATCCTTGAGAATGTGATGTACAATGTACTACAACTTGTAACATAGGTAACAAAAAAGTCATTCCGCCAGATTCTCGTGCAAGCCACGAAATTCATTTTACTTTTTTAAATGCTTTTTTTACTGACTGGTAATTTAGCTTCACCATCTAAGCACCTACACGTTTCTTTGTTTCCGTTTTGTTCGATACCTCTGTTTGACGCCATTTGATGAAGTGTCTCTTCATGAGCGAAAGTGTGGATCATTGATCGACTCTAACGCGAACATGCGAACAATCACAATAATAACTGCAGGGGCGTCGCACACGGTACGGTCACTACGGTATTGACCGTACCACTTTTTGCCCCAGATACCCCGTGAATCAACAAAATACACTGATCTGGGGTCTAAAATTCCAAAATGTTCGGCTCCGCCACCACTCCCCCACGAGTAAATTGTACGTCAGATGGCTGACCGTACCACACTAAAATACCTTCCGACGCCCCTGAACTGGCAACACAAAATTTTAATGCAAAATGATGACCTCTGGAGGGCTGTCCACCTTACAGCGATGAAAGCCGTGGCTGAAACTCCAAAATACCATGCATAATATTTACAATACTTTAACAGTCGATCCGGTTAGGAACGAACTGAGGGAAAGTGCCGAACAAGGCCTTGAGGAATGTAAAATAAAAGTCAACAAACAAGAAATAATTTGGAGAAATCAACAGCTACGAACAATGGCACATACCTGCCGAGTCTTCAGGTGTACCGGCGTCAGGGTCTTGTTTACTGTTATCCATTGCCGTCTCTGAAACGGTGGAGTCCTGGCTGTTAGTGTTAGCACTGGATACTTGGTCCATGCCAAAGGTTCCTCAAGCACAGTACAGCAGTACTCATTAGCGTAAAAATTAGAGAAGTAAATAACTGACTAAGGTCACAGAATGCACTCCTCCAGGACCGGCAGGCAATACAGCAGTGAATACAACGGAATCTCTCTGCCCAACTGTCTCAAACGAACCTGGCTACAGAGAAGAACTAAGACGTGTATGATGGGAGAGAAAAGCTAGCTAACGTTAGCTAGCTGCCTTTGCAAGGCTAGCTTGGACCATCATCAGCAAAAATGAATTATTTCGGCCACTTCGAAACTACTCGATCGTACTGTACTATTCGTACATACGAAACCCCTTCCCACCGCCATGTTTTAGATGGAGGAAGCATGGAAACAGATCGATTTATTTTGCAGTACAGATTGTACTACTGAAATCGGATAGGTTTGGAGATCAAAAACGTTTCTCAGCTAGGCCTAGGCGGGCCTAGTATTCCATAAAACCGGATTCGATCAGTTTATCCGTTTTTTAACTTTTTTTGCTCAGCTGAGCTGAGCTGAGCTGTGAAGTATGATGTAATCAGCGTAAAAGTCACGATAGTGACGTCAACACTGGTCAACGCGCGATTATGTAGGTCCACGTGACCACGTCTCCACGATGATCTTCCAGCCCTTGCGCAGTAGGCCTTTCCGGATTACAGGTCGTCCCTCGTTAATACATAATCTCTGGGACTTGATAAATGTTATGTATTAACGGGGTTTATGTACTAAACGAAAGTGTACATAACTTGCTTGTGTACCAGAAACTTTCACTTTTTTCAGCTTTTCTGAGTGTTTCTTGCTACGATGACTAGGGAGCGAGATATTCTTGATTCCCTCAATATAACATAAAAATTATGTTATAACGGTCACAGTCAGCGAAGATTCTACAGTTTACATGATACATGCGCCCAGCCGCGCCTGTACAGTCACTCGGAAAAAGCAGAGCTTTGCGGGTTGTGATGTGCGCTCTGATTTCTGAGCTATTTGCGTCCACAAGTAGAAACTAGAACACAATGTGCCTCCACTGGAAGGCCGAAAGACCAACAAATTATGTACTATTGAGGTAGGTGGCATGCGGGTACGGAGAACTGTTATGTACTAACGGGGTTTATGTACTAACGAATTATGTACTAACCGACAAAATTTGTATGGAAGTGAGGTACGTTTCGTCCGGGACTTGAGATTTCTTATGTACTAACGGGGTTTATGTACTAACCGGACTCGTATTAACGGGGGACGACCTGTATGTGTTTGCATATTTTTCCATTTTGGGGGTCAAAATGCATTTTGTCCATTTTGACCCACTTTGGGCCAGGGAGTCGTAAAATACCGGTATTTTACGACTCCCTGCAAGCGATAGGTACTTCACGATCACCATGAATGATCACCATGGTGCCAAATGTCACGCGACTAGCTGTCGCCATTTTGTTACCATGGCAACGGCGGCATTTTTTCGTGCTTTTTGGGTAATTTTTTGCATTTTCTTTAGAAAAAAATTTGATTTATAGGGGTTTTCCAAAACACTTTCCATTTCCATTTTAGACCAAGAAAAAACGCATAATCCGGAAAAGCCTATTGCGCAGTGCGCACAAGCATTTAATTATTTATGTCACACTTGATGTATCGTGTAAGAAATATCGGAAAATAACTTTAATAAGAATAGAAAGTCGTTTTTCAAACACCCACGCTATAACCGATAGTACGAACTGGTCTGTAGCTAGCTACGTACAAGTAGTAGACTCTACAAAATTGTAGGTTTTTTTTTGCATATTTATTATGGTGACCCATGCACATTTTGAAGAATGCACCAAGTTTGGCACATTTTTCCACAAAAATGTGCTCTGTTTCTGGAGTACCGTTTGGTTGGCATGAGGCTGCTCCATGTCACATGTGCACCAGCTGTTCGATCCTGTTCTAGATCGTACCAACCAAACGCACCCCAAGACTCAGGCAAGAGTACGAGTACTAACACAGTCATAAACCAATCCCCCCCCCCCCCCTTTTACAGTGTTTTATGAAATTATGTAGATCTACAAAGTACTCTTGATCCTACTGTCGTACTGAGTAGTGAGTGCAGTGGTGAGTGGAATGCTGTGGATAAAGCGTTGAAGAGTTTGTTGCAATTATTTTCCGGCTAGTACCGGTAGTACATCTTCCCGAACTAGTCTCCTCCACCCAATTGGCGCAGCCGTCACTAGTTTAGTGTTTGATTGATCGTGTTTCGTCTTCTCTGAGTGCTCTGTGAAGATCAAGCATTCCATTCGAAAATGGCACTCACAAATCTTGTAGATTTCAGCATTACGAGAGTTTTGAATGAAAGTGCTGATAGCAAGACCATCTTCTTGCTTGGTCGGTTTGAAGGCCGCTCTGGAGAGGCCATTGTTCTGCTGGAGAAACTGGCGATAACAGAAGCTGTTTGCCAGCAGTTTATTGTCGACAAATCTGTAAAACTGGAGTTCACCATGCAGAATGATATTTACAGCTTGTATAACGGCCACGGTGACGTCACTAGAATGAATGAAATTAAGGTGACCATTATAGAGCCTGTGACAAGTCGTCTGATAGAGAAGTTCTCTGCGCAGCAAATACATATGATCCGGGAAACAGCGGAGGACTACCGACTCGTCACACAACATTATCTCAAAGAAACGGCTAAAGACCTTCAGGTACGGTAGAACTCACCTACATGGCACCTATGTTGATAATTTTTACCTTGGACATACTGGTCATTGCTGTACTACCATACAAGAGTGGGCCCATTCTCCCAGGAAGGTCAGCGGTACCACCAGAGTGTGTGCGCGTGTGGGTGTGTGGCATAAGTTGCCATGGCTTCTGCTGTAGCATTGCTATCATTGCCTCCATCGATGGGCGTCAAAAGGTGTGTGTGTGTGTGTCCGTGTACGTGTGTGTATGTGTGGGCAGGGGCGTCGGAAGGTATTTTAGTGTGGTACGGTCAGCCATCTGAAGTACAATTTACTCGTAGAGAGGGGTGGCCGAGCCGAAAAATTGGAAAATTAGAGCCCAAATCAGTGCATTTCATTGATTCACAGGGTACTTGGGTCAAATAGTGGTACGGTCAATACCGTAGTGACCGTACCGTGTCCGACGCCCCTGGTGGGTGCAACCTTGCAAGCTGTTGAATGGTGCAATCCCAGCACAAGTTGCTTTGGCTTCTGCTGTAACATCGCTATCATCGCCTCCAGCGGTGGACGTCAAAAGGTGTGTGTGTGTGTGTTCGTGTACATGTGTGTATGTGTGGGTGCGTGTGCTTTGGTGGGTGGGTGCGTGCGTGTACGGGCATGCATATGTGTACGTGTCCATCTTGCACACAGTGGGTGGAGAACATCCTGGAGAAGAAAGCGGAGAGAGACCGTGTACTGTGTGAAGATGATGATGCAGACATTGGCTTCACTCTTGCAGCGGACATGAAGTGGGATCAGAAGCAGGTAGGCTGCTGGGTGTGCTGCAGACTAGAGCTAATACAGTAAAACCTGTCAATGCGACCACTCGGATAAGGCGACTACCTGCCCTAAACGACCACTGAAACCAGGACCAAGGGGTGCTTTCTCCAGTCAAATGACCCTGGATGAGGAGACCATCTGGTAACAGAGACCACGTTTTGAAGGTCCCTTGAGCGGTCGTCTTAGACAGTTTCACTGCACTACAGTGCATATCAGTTATAGTGTGGTTGTGTAAAACTGAATATACGACCTACACAAATGAACTCTCGTATGCTCATGAATCATAATCATAACATTGGTTTCACGTGAACATTAATTCTTACAAGCAATGTTATCGCATAGTAGAATATATCGGTCCTGAGAATGGACTTTGTGTAGCAAAGCATGTCAGATTTATAGTACAAAGTGTATCGCTTGTAGTGATAGCATCTGTCCGTTGTAGTTCTGATCCAACTCGCATTGTGTCGTAGTGCTGCAGGTTCAAATGTTGTGGTTATGTAACTCATGTTGCAAAGCTACATGGTTAAAGCGTATGGGACTATGAAGAGCCGCGTGCACAGTAGCACTACGTTGCATGTAATCTTCCTGCCTCTGCGCACATGCATGTGATATGTCACACTTGACCGTGTGTAAGAAATATCGGAAATATGAATAAAAAGTCGTGTTTTCAAACACCCGCTCTATAACCGATATGTACAGTGTACTGTATGTAACGTTTAGTTCACTGTTCCGCCCATGTCACTGGCACCTTTCATGCATTGCTTGCATGCGCGTTTTACATGCCCGCGCCTCTGTGGCTGCACGTGTCGCGTGACCGATGCAAATCACTCCAGATTCCCACGCTGCGCACGTGGAGGCTTGTGGTACTGCGTGTTTCGGTTTTATTGGTCTGGCTTTGTCTACCAGTTGTGTTTGCTTTGCAGTTCGCTCGGTGTGTGTTTCTCTTGGAAGTGTATTCCATTCTTGTGTTCTTGTTTTATACGTTGTAGTGGTGAGAGTTGGTTTCTGTCAACACTGAAAGTGTCCATCTGTGCGTGGTGAAGATTCTTGCGTACAGTGAGACCTGTCTAAGGCGACCCCTCAAGGGACGAGAAAAAGTGGTCGCCGTGGCCAGGTGGTCTTCTTATCCAGGCTCAGTGGGTCACATGACCATATCCACATGTGATACATCATTTTGATCAGTGCATCACAGTGCACACACCTATGCTACTCTAGCACGACTCATATGCCTGGGGTCCTCAGACCTGTCAAATGTCGTGCATGCACCATGTACATCTACACTTCCTGCACTGATGTGTAGATCTACCATGCCTGGTGCACCATGCAATGCGTACATTTACATGACTAGAACTGTGCAACGTGGTCGCGGGTGGGTGGTCGCGTTGAGCGAGTGGTCGCCTTATCCGAGGTGTTTTGAATGTGAATGTGTCCGTGACAAGGAAAAGTGGTCGCCATGGTCGAGTGGTCGCCGTGGTCGCCATGGTCGAGTGGTCGCCATACCCGAGGTTTTACTGTAGTTTGTTTGTGAGAGTGTGTTCCGAGCATTCTACAACGAACCCTAATCGAAAGTAACACTGTATTAGCAACAGCATTCTACAACGAACCCTAATCGAAAGTAACACTGTATTAGCAACAGTACCCACTGTACTTGTGCGACTTGGACATCCGTTTGGCCTTGACTGCCTGATGTCATCATGCGTAGCTAGTGTGAGCAAAAGTGCGAAAGTACTTGCACGTCGCAGGTATAGAGGATATGGAATTACATCATCAAATTACATCATCAGTTGAGATGCTTTGACGAAGTCGCGGCACAGTCAGTTCTGCGCTTGCACTAGCGACTCATGCTGCATACGTAGTGCCCGTTAGCGACCCTGCCGGCTCACACTGTTTTATTACTTACATAGTGTGAATAGCTACAATGACTACTTCCTCCGTATACAAAAACTTCGTGACTTTTTTTGAAAGCTGCGCACAGCTCTGAAATTGTTCCGTTTGACTTGGAATAACACTCGTGGCATTGTCTAACCTGTTTACAAGCTATATACAAAGAAAAAAGCAACTGGGACGAATGAGATTGAGTTTTTTCAGAGTCTCCGTCGCTCATGTCATTGTCACCTGACGACGCTGACTCCGCATCGCCAACAGTCGCTGCTTCCGCTCGCATTTCGTTCAGATTCTTGTCACCTGCAGTGATGATCCGACGCTGGACTTTGGCTACGTCCTCTTCATCTCTAGAGCTGTGTACGAATCGGTGTCAACTATATTCAGTTGTTCCAACCCGCAACCTCCATTATGCCGTGAAACGAGTCGCACAAGCACATCCCCACGCTTCGCATTTTCTCGCCAGGAAAATCCTCCCAAGCCTTCTACAATGGCTTCGAGGAGGTCCCTGCGATTCCCCTTGGCGACAAAGGAGGCGTCTGACTGGAGAGAGGCGAAGAAAGCCAGGCCATCGACATTCTGATCCTGAGTCTGCGCTGGTTGCACCACGACTGAAATATAGTGCGAGCGAAACAAATCGATGTTCTCACGCTGCGTAGATACATGTATCATGGATATGGGGCCGCGCACCGCAAGTACGAGCCTGGCCAGTTTCAGGGCAGCGAGTGCCGCGTGACTTCGTGTTCCAGCCACGAGCTACACTTCGTCACTGTGTCAGTTTCGAGCAAGTAAGTGTTAGTTTTTTTTCATTTGACTCTTGAGTTTCTGTCGGCAACGTCCTCACACGCATGACGTACGTGGAGAATCTGTTCGGGATCAACCAAACTCACCTCGACATAGACGTGGGTTGTCGATGACAGCCTTTGGCGCCGTTCGTTGAGCAGGTTCTTGCTCAAAAACACCGTGCAAAAAAAGTCACGAAGTTTTTGTATACGGAGGAAGTAGGCGATATGCATCTAGGCATCCTGCCTGTATAATGTTATAACTAACTATGTATGACTGTGTGCAGACAGGTGTCTAAGATATGCAGGCTGCCTATACTAGTGCTCTATACCCAATGGGCAGAGCCAGTAATAGTTATCTCTTAATTTGCTGGCCCAAAATCCTATATATAGGATTTGAAAATGTGTGCCTTTTATGCCGTTGTTATTGGTCATCACGACCAGTAATAACGGCATAATGGTTTTCATGGAAGTTGTAAATATGTTTGAGGCATGAATGTTCACATTTTAGATTCATAGGGCGATAATATTTCTGATGAATACCCATTTTCAGCAAAATTTGGAAATTTGAGCATATTTGTTCAGCTGCTGTCATGGAAAGGACTGAAGCAGTGAATGTGCAGAAGAACATTGCAGGTGTGGTTTCATGACGACATATCGCACATGCCGTCATGAAACTACCAGTTTTAAGGATAAAACAAGGTCCAATAAAATCTCAAATCCTATATATAGGATTCGAAAAATAGGGCACAGGCCTTAGTAATATTGGGCAAGGAGATGAGCCTGACATGTTAGTGTTTGAAAAAATTATCTTATTCAACTCTCGATATATACTAAGACCTAGCAAGGAAGAATTGATCACATACTTTTCTCTATGCTCGTGCCACACCCATTTTGAGTTGAAAAATATGACCAAAATCCTATATATAGGATTTAGCAAATTAAGAGATACAATTCACAAACAGCAACAGTGCAACCAGGTCCTTCCTTGCCGTTACTCATTACTTGATGACTGTGTACATTTAGATATGTCTGCATTGTCAGCATTCCTACATTCTTATACATGTAGATGTGTTTACCATCATTCTATGCTTGTATGTTGTGTATTTTATGCTTTAGGCTGAAGAGCTGTATGTATTAGCAATTTGTAGAAAGCGTGGTTTGGCGTCACTTCGAGATCTGGATGGGCGACATGTTGCTATGCTGTGCAACATTCGTGATAAATCCCTGGTAGGTTGCAGTCAGTGACTTCTGCTTGCTAATGCATGGAGTGTTCTGTAGAGTGAGGGTGGGTGTGTTTTGCATGTGATGTGTATCACTGCTTGTGCTGTTTGTGTGTGTGTGTGGGGGGGGGGGGGGGTGCTGTGTGGGTGTGGGTGTGTGTGTGGGGGGGGGGGGGGGGTGTAGCTGTAGAGGTGACACAGTTGGTTAACCCTTTGAGCACGCATGACGTATTAATACGTCACGTACAGTGTCACTGCACCCACGCATGACGTATTATTACGTCGTGAGTGTACATAGCGTACAAACGCGATTTGCATGAACCGCGTGAGTTCAAACTATCGTAACTCGGTCAATTCTTGGCCGATTTTCACGATCGAAATATGTATCTGCAAGAGAAAACTCTCAGCTTGCGATAGAAACAATCGCCGAAGCGATACGACCCCGGGTTGTTGAGATATGCGACTCGACACGGCAAATTCAAATCGATTTTTTTGCGAACTCTGCAGAACGCGTATTCTCCATTTTCGATCATTTTCACGCTATCTGCTGCCATGGAAACTAGATTCAAATGATGGCAGAGGATCTGGGGAGTCCTCAAAAAAAATTTGAGCTCGATACGAGCAAGAAGAGTGAAATGGCAGCTGAGGATTTGATCTCCTGGCCGTGCTCAAGTCTGTCGAGCGCGTGCGTGAAGTTTGCCAGACTGTAGCATGGGCTTTTGGTGTCGCTCCGAGCTGAGCTTGGAACTATTTTGTTCCTCGCCTCAAGACCTTTGCAGGAAGCTCAAGATCGTGGAATTCGTCCAAAGGAAGGTAAAGTTATCGATCCTTGAACAGCTACTACTTTCATAGGAAAAACGCGATTTTTGCAGGTGTTGACGTGGGGCGGCATTCAGGTAGCGTCGTGCTCAAAAGGTTAATATTAAAGGGGAAGTTAAGGCTTAAAATCAAAATTTCACCAGTTGTAGTCTTCGGGGTGCTGAGTCGAATGGTCTTGGTCCGAGGAAGCTGAGACACTCCCTTCCTACTTTAATCCCAATCGAACTCGCGCACTTCCACCGAAACTGGGTGACTGCGCCCTACTAGATGGGGATTTGTATGCAAAATGTCACTAAAAGCGCCATTTCGTTCTTATAAAAGCACGGATGACCGCGATTGGCCCATATGTTGTAGTCTTTTGGACACTGAGTCGACTGGTTTTGGTCCAAAAGGCTGCGATGCAGCGTTCGGCCCTTATTCCCAATCGAACATGCTTGAACAAGCGATCACGTGCTCCTGCGAACACCAGTCACCTGGTCACCGTGCCTGCAGGGTACAACTTACAGCCTGTTTGACCTTTTTTGGGTGCAGTCCTGTCACTCGAGTTGAACTCGAGTTGAACCTTGGTGTGAAAGTTGTCGCCTGCTGGCGCTGTGACCAGGTGACTTGGGCACGCAGGAGCACATGACCGCTTGTTCAACCATGTTCGATTGGGAATAAAGGAGGAACGCTGCATCGCAGCTGTCTCGGACCAAAACCAGTCAACTCAGCGTCCAAAAGACTACAACATATGGGCCAATCGTGGTCATCCGTGCTTTTATAACAACGAAATGGCGCTTTTAGTGACATTTTACATACAAATCCCCATCTAGTAGGGCGCAGTCACCCAGTTTCGGTGGAAGTGCGCGAGTTCGATTGGGATTAAAGTAGGAAGGGAGCGTCTCAGCTTCCTCGGACCACGACCATTCGACTCAGCACCCCGAAGACTACAACTGGTGAAATTCTGATTTTAGCCTTAACTTCCCCTTTAAACTCTCTTTCCCTCTCCCCCCCCCCCCTCTCTCTCTCTCTCTGTGTGTTTGCAGGCATGTCTAAAGGAGCGCTATGGTTTACAAGCGTCACAAGTGCGTGCATTCCTCCACTACCAGCCATCTTGCTATCACCTACATGTGCACTTTACACACGTGCGTCTACAGCAACCCGGTACAGTGGTCGGCAAAGCTCACCTTCTCGATGATGTCATAGATAACATTACACTGATAGATGAGCATTACTATCAGAAGTGTGCAGTGACGTATCAGCTGCAGGCTACGCACCCTTTGCTGGCGCTGTTACGTAAGAGGCATGGGGAGTGCCTTGACGACACAGTCACCTCCTGAACGACTGATGCTGCTGTTGATCTGCACATGACTGTGATCATCGATAGTGCTACTACGATGACTACCCCAGGACTGAGCTGTGCGAACAATGGGTGAGGACCGAGTGCGGTGGTTAGGTGCTGGTGACTGGCAGCTGTGCCAGAACTTGTGTACTGTGTTCGTCATCTCAGAGCAGGGCTTGAGCGGCTCAGAGCAGGGCTATAGAGCGTCTGAGCACGGCTAGGGCCCCACGAATAGCAGCAACGGCTTGAAACATTCACCCATCTACTGGACTCTACACAGTCTGTACAGGCATACACTGTATCCAGACTATGCCTGAGCCGACTGTATGCACTGGCTACTATGGGACTCTGCCAACCGGTTTTGGTTGGGTTGCCGTCAGGAACCCTGTTCTCAGCACTGTGTGCCCCTTGCCTTGTGACATGCTGTCATCGCCATGCATGTTAGACGATGCCCGTATATTGCATGCAGTACATGTACTGGTGCGATTATCGGTGACACATTACACAGTCACACTTCGTTTCTGTGTGATCACTCCAAGCAGCACCGTGACAGTAGTGTCAACTCACCAGTACCTTCCCAGACACTGCCATTTAGGCCTGTCCGGATTATGTTTTGCATATTTTTCGCATTTTGGGGTTTTTCCGCTTTTTTCGCGGGAAGATGCATTGAACTCCCGACACAACAAGAGCACAGTAATTTTAGTTATAATTCATACATTACAATATTATTGATACCTGACCGGTTTCTGCACTTAGAATGCTTCATTTTGGGGGGTTTTCAGCATTTTTCAACATTTTGAGCTGATTTTCTCATGCATGCAGCTGATCAGCACTAGCACGTTTCAAACTGCTATCAGGCTGGCCTTGTCACTTATCACCCCAGTGCACAATTCGCCAAGGGACACATCCTTTGCACGCGCTTCCTCCACGTGCACTTGGAACGACAAGGGATTCAAGTTTTATGTCATTTTGGTTGCCATGGTAACGGCAGCATATTTTTCGCATTTTGGGTGAAATTTTAAATTTTTAAAAGATTTTTTTAGCATTTTGGGTAAATTTCCAAAATAACCATTTCCATTTTGACCCTTCAAAAACGCATAATTCGGACAGGGTTGCTGCCAGTGTCGTAGTGCTGTTAATAATTGATACGTGCCTTCAATCAGTGCCAGCGCGCATGGTGATGTATGGAGCTGGGTGTCTCACTACTCTGTACTGCTGGCGACATGCCAAACTTCTTCATTATGCAGTGTACATGTACTGCTGGGGCCATAGTACAATACCCGCCAACAAAAATCCGTCCAGTGCTGCACATGGTAGCCGACTACGATGTGCAGCACTGGCCGAAATTTTTGTTGGCGAGTATTGTATAGTTTCTTGGTTCTGCTGTGTACATGTACTTGGTGCTACGCTATGCTGTACTGCTGGGGCCTCGGCGACTAGCTTGGCTATGTTGTGTACTGCTGGGCCATGCTGTACTACTTGGCCATGCTGTACCATTGAACTATGCGGTGTAAACCAGGGAGTATTGTACTACTCCCTGCTCTGAACAATAGTACCGTACTTTCAAGAATTGGCGCCGTACGTAAATTAGCGCCGTGTGTTTGTTTTTTTTTTGTCTTCTACTGCCACAGCGCATACCACCGTGGAATGCTGAATTCTTACGTGCGTGCGCTATGTTTTATATTTCTTAATGGTGTGGTGAATACTGTATTGTTGTGATCATCTATAATACCTGTATGAGGGCTTGAATTTGAATTGTTTGCTACAATGGTCAAAACCCTTTATCTGTGTTCTTGGTCACACATTGGAAGTTTGGATCGGCCAAGAGCGCAATGTGGTGGTGTGGTGTATTGGATTCTTGGTCACACAATCAATAGATTCTTGGTTGGAGGGAAGCAAATCAGCACACGAAGCACAGAAGCCATATACCGCCAAAGTGCCGGTTACAAGGACTTACTTGCTGCCGTGTTACTACTGGCTCCAGACATACTTTGCCAGCTCCGTACTTGCTTCATACCGCTCGTGTCGCAGCGACGTCATATGATTTCCATACCTGGACTTGAAATCCGGTGCCGACATTCCGGTGTATGTCTTCAGGGCACTGTCCGATGTTACTTCGGCCTCATAGTCATACACCGCATTGGTCGACTTGCATTCACCTTTCAGTGGACAAGATGCGGCGACTCGGCAGTTGCAGGGGACTCTCTCGTGCTTTGGTTGCATCAGTTTCTTGTTGTGGCCTTTGATCCGCGTTTCCATATTAGGCATGCAGCTATAGCCGACTTTCAAGGTGTTTCTGTTGAAGAGCTTTCGCAGTTTGGCGTTCTTGGGGAAATGCTTGCTTACTAGTGTACTGTATGTAGCTGGTGTGTATGTATAGGATATTGACCAAGACAAGGTCTATATGGGAAATATAGGCAGAGTAGAAGACCGAGGTCCGCCGAACAGTGGCCAGAGGCAGGCAAAGATGTTGAACATTCCGATGGCAGACGTTGCGATTCAGACGATTGAAAGCATTTGTCGCGTCTGCCATCAGAATTCCATCAGTCTCTTCACGAGCAAACGCCTCCTGCATATCATGTATACCCACATCCACTCCGCAGTCCTGACTGGCACACAGCTGGGAGCAGCCAACAACCTGCTGAACCGCAGGGCCAACAACAGAAACAATTGCCTTCCCCATAATGCGACGAACAACTTCGCCTATGCCTATTGGCCTGACACCGGGCCGCTTGTCCAAGGGCAGCAAGCGACATGCAGTGAACGCCATCAATGCACCAGCATCAATATGCTCACTGGCCACTCTCCTGGCACAAGAAGCAAGCGCATCACACAATCCATCCGAAGCGTCAGTGAAACTGGAGCACATGACGCGAGGCCTCAGCATCCACACCGCTGGGTCCCGCTGCGCCCTATGTGCCTAGCGCTGCCTGCCGGATAGCACGGCGCCCCAGCGAAGCAAAATAGATGGGATGCGGAGGAGGGGGCAGCTGTCCCGGTATAAGAGCCTCGTCGCACACGGGCTCAGACTCAGGATGCTTCTGCTTCAATACATCGATTACTGGAACACCGTTAATTTCATCACTGATGCTGTGCACTCCACCACCACGATCAGCACCAAGGCAGCGCAAAGCAGCCGATAGCCTTCCAGATGCGACGCAATCCGCAAACTCTTGCGCGGGGAACACGGCAGCGGTGATAGAGTGGTTCACAAGAATACCAGAGAAAGAAAACTGCATATTCGTGTGCTTTGACATCGTAGATTTCTACCCCTCGATCTCCGAAGACCTCCTCCAGAGATCCGTCGAATTTGCCCGCTGCTACACGGACATCTCCCAGGAGGGGTGTGACATAATATTCCACGCCAGGCGATCACTGCTGTTTGGCTTGGAGAGGCACTGGGTGAAGAGACACAACGAGCACTTTGACGTGACAATGGGGTGCTATGATGGGGCTGAGGTGTGTGAGCTTGTTGGAGCCTTCGCCCTCGCCAGGATAGCGGACGTGTTCGACGGCAGAGACGTCGGGTTGTATCGTGACGATGGCCTGGCTGTGTTCAGGAATGCATCAGGACATGAAGCTGACCGAACAAGAAAGGAGATGACCAAAATATTCCAGGATCTCGGACTGAAGATAACGATACAGACAAACCTGAAGAGATTCGACTTTCTGGACGTGACATTGGACCTGACCACCGGAAAGTACTGCCCTTACCGGAAACCGAACGACAAGCCGATGTACACCAACTGCCAGTCAAATCATCCGCCTACAATCATCCGGAACCTACCTGCATCGATCAGCAGAAGATTCACAGATATTTCCAATGATGACGACGTCTTCAGAGATGCAACTCCGATCTACAGTGACGCGCTGAGGAAGAGTGGATACCGGGAGAACGTACAGTATTTTGACGAGCTTAAAACGGATGAGACAAAAAGGAAGAAGAAAAGGAATCACCCCCGGAACATCATATGGTTCAATCCACCATTTAGCAAGAACGTCGCCACCGACGTCGGACATCGCTTCCTCCAGCTAGTGGTCAAACACTTCCCCAAAGGCTCAAGCCTCAACAAAATCTTCAACCGGAACTCTGTAAAGGTTAGCTACAGTTGCATGCAGAATATGGCCACTATCATCAAACAACACAATGGGCGCCTTCCATTACACGTTTACACAATTCTGGAACTGGGTTTTGTAATTCTCGAATGACCAAAATGTAAGAATTCCGGCCATGTAAACGAACGACTGGAATTCTTAACGCATTTTATTCATGGCATATCACAAACAAAATTGGTCGTAAAAATATATCACGTACACCCTCGCACGCGCGTCGACCCAGCTTGGCGTACCGGTCCATCCCGGCGAAGGCTCCATGTCGGCCACAATACCGTAAAAGTCCGTAAATAAGTACGTATTTACTTTCGAATTTAGTGACCACACCCGTACTAACTTTCGGGTGGGTACTGACTTTCGGGCACGAACTAACTTTCGGACCTGACTTGTGTGTAGTGGAGAAGTCATTTTCATGTCGATGTACATGCTACGTGCAGCATGTGCGCACCATACCGGTACTTATTTCGGGCAGTATGTTTATCGGGCTTGACTTGACTTCAACAGACAGAGCCAAAAGAATGAAGGGGGTATTTCTTTCGGGCAGGTACTTATTTACGGACTTTTACGGTATTGGGCTTCAATAAAGCTGAACGCGTGTGCGAAAGGACCACCCAAAATGATCTGGTCTAATAATCAGCTCCCAGCGGAAACTCAACAGCGGCAATTAGCTTTTCAGGAAGACAAAAGTAGCAACTACATATGCAGTTGTAGCCCTGCTTTCGTGCCACACCAGCCAGGGAGGCTCTTCCTTGACTTGACTCATGCATGACCAGACCGGTAACACACCGAGTGTGCAATTCTGGCGCCAGAATTAGAGAAATTCCGCCCTCTCTTCAGAATTGACGGAATTGGATCAAATAAATTCTAAAGACAGAATTTGTCACTTTTTGTGTAATCAAACTGTGCATCAACAATAACTAATTCTAGAATTGACCGAAATGCGTGTAATCGAAAGTGCCCAATAACACGATTCTACGGCCCAAGAAACAAGCTAACGGAGGTGACAAGGACAACAGGACTTGTAACTGTTGGGCGAAAGACTCATGTCCACTGGACGGAGCGTGTCTAACGGAGAGCATCGTGTATAAGGCAAGAGTCACCGCAGGTATGGAGAAGAAGGAGTATACTGGATTAACAGCAACAACATTCAAACAACGCTACTATAACCACCAATCCTCACTCCGCCACAGACAACACGAGAAGGACACCCGTCTATCGCAGTACGTCTGGGCCAGGAAGGATGAAGGGAAGGCATGCAGCATTCAATGGGCGGTACACCGCAGAGCAGCGGCCTACAGCAACAAAAGAAAACGGTGCAACCTGTGCATGGCGGAAAAATTGGCAACAGCGCAAGCACACAAGCACCTCTCTCTCAACAAAAGGAGTGAGCTTGTGTCAAAGTGTCGCCACGAGAATAAGTACATGTACTACCTTCGGAACTTCAAACCATCCACGGCCATCACCTAATTAAAGGGGAAGTTAAGGCAAAAATTAAAATTTCACCAGTTGTAGTCTTCGGGGTGCTGAGTCGAATGGTCTTGGTCCGAGAAAGCTGAGACGCTCCCTTCCTACTTGAATCCCAATCGAACTCGCGCACTTCCACCGAAACTGGGTGACTGCGCCCTACGAGATGGGGATTTGTATGCAAAATGTCACTAAAAGCGCCATTTCGTTCTTATAAAAGCACGGATGACCGCGATTGGCCCATATGTTGTAGTCTTTTGGACGCTGAGTCGACTGGTTTTGGTCCGAAAAGGCTGCGATGCAGCGTTCGCCCCTAATTCCCAATCGAACATGGTTGAACAAGCGGTCACGTGCTCCTGCGTACACCAGTCACCTGGTCACCGTGCCTGCAGGGTACAACTTACAGCCTGTTTTGACCTTTTTTGGGTGCAGTCCTGTCACTCGAGTTGAACCTTGGTGTGAAAGTTGTCGCCTGCTGGCGTGGTGACCAGGTGATTTTGGCACCCAGGAGCACGTGACCGCTTCTTCAACCATGTTCGATTGGGAATAAAGGAGGAACGCTGCATCGCAGCCTTTTCGGACCAAAACCAG